CTGTCAGTCAAAATGCTCGGCGCAGAGAGGTCTTTTGGCAGGCGCGTCTAAGGCATCTTGAAGATGGGCGTCAACAAACTCTGGCATGCCGATGGGGACACGCGGTGCCACAATCCCACGTTGGTCAGGCCGGCCGGCGTTCAGCATCCGCAACCCAAATGTGGAACCAGCAGCGAAGTCCGGAATTCTATGACTCGACCGCGTAAAAAGGCACAGGAGGTGCTCGAGGACGCAAAAGGTTTTTCCCCACGGGGCAAAGCTGAGCTTGAAAGTCGGTTCAACGTGACCGAGAACACGGCAGGCGTCAAGGGGTCTCCACAAGTACGCCGGGTAGCGGGTGGCAATTGCGACTTGCTCGAGATCTGCATCGCGCTCCGAAGATGTATGCAAACCGTTGACTGACCTACGTTCACGTATTGCAGTTGTGGATTTTTTTGTTCGTTTGCCGATTACGGTTGTTGTAAATTTCGACGCCATCATTGATCTCTGGCATTGGATAACGGCCCATACTTGCCAAAAAAAAAGACGGGCGCACCACAAACCACAATCTGGCACAAACAATTGAGGGGACAGCACGGGTGAGTAACTGAATTCATTGTCAATATGAACACAGGCCTGAAGGATGGATGTGCGCCTCTGCACCCGTGCGTGCGGAACGTGCGCGCTGATGGCAGTTGCAAGCAACTTCAATGGCTGGGCAAGGTGCGTGCGATGAGGTGGTGCAACATGTCACGAACGAGAAAGCCATGCGCCGCCCCTGACGGCTTGCGGATACTGACAAGGCGGCCCCATTCTGCGACCGGCAAGGATTAGCAAGGAAAGCAAGCCTACCACGGGCCCTGGGTGCTCGGCTGCAAGCGAAGCAGGTCCCCAAGCATGGTGTTGTAAGGGTCGATTGGCCCGAGGCTTTGCCGGTCAAACGCCGTCATCAGCAGCCACGGCCCTTGTTCTTGGCCGCCTGGGCCCAATGGGTTCGCAGTTGCAATGCTGCGATTTGTTTTCGGCGATGATGTTGGATTTGGTCGTCGCAGCTGTCGTAAAGCCTCAGCTTGTGGATTGATTTGATGAGTTTGCGGGTTGAACTTGCAGGACGATCAACGGAGCTCATGGCTGTTCCCAGGTGTTTCCGGGCTTTGCGGCCTTGGAAACGGCACAAGGTTTCCCAGCGGCAGGCCGCTGCGGTGGGATCCTCACCGCGGGGCGCCCAGAATTGTGGGCCCGGTTGCACAACGGATTTGCCCGACCCAATAATTAGCACGAGCTCCTATGATTTCTCATGATTTTTCATCATCCCTCCATGCTTGTCATCAGTTTTCGTTATTTTCATCATGTACATCATTTACATCATTTTCATGATTTTCATCTTGTGTCATTAATTTTCATTTTTCCTGATTGTTTTTCATGATCTTCAGCAATTTAATTTTTGTTGTGATTTGGCATCATTATTCATTATTTTCATCACTTATCATGGGTTTCCATAATTCTCTGTTCATTCATGAGATCTTCATGATTTTTTGGCATTCTTCAGAATTTTTGCTTAAGAAATTGGGTTGTTGTGTGAGGCCGCCTTTGATTCCAGGCCCCCAGCCCCACAAAAACCCAAAAATATTCACCCGAAGCAAGCCAGGCACAATGTCATGCAACGCACATCCAAGACATGCATTATCATACCCGTGTGTGCATTTTGTCGCCTAGCTTCCAGGCACTTTTCTGTTTGGCAGGCATATCATTATGCCAAGCGAGCTCGCGAGTTTTTTCCATAGCAAGCCATGTATCTGGTGCTGCGGCTGGCCCCGCTCTCCCCCAATAAGGGAACGGCCCCAACCCACGCTGCCGCGGTGGGACCCTGGGCCTTCGGTGACCACGTCCTTGCTTGTCCCAAATCTGTGTACATGGTCAAGAGTGCCATGGTTGTTGAGCGCCTTGGATCCGTGTAGTGCAGGAGGCCTCAGACGCTAACGGCAAGGTCTTAAAATGACATGAGGCGAGTGTATCCTCATGGTTTCCTTGAGAGATATGATCCAATTGATGATGCAATTTTAGGACGATTTCCGGAGCTTTTTGATGGTGTGTGGATTTTGCTGCCTGCGAATGAATGGCATGTTCCGTTTGCACAATGATTGTTCTTTTTGTATTTTTCTGCAATGATGTGGAGCACAGAGCTCCACTACAGTGCAAACGTTTCACTCACAATTTTACTTCGCAGCTCGGGGTGGTAGGTGTTGAAACCAATGAACACAGCCCGTTTGAGCTGCCTTGCGACACGGGCCGCGCTACATGGGCCGCGCTACATGCGGTGCGGCTGAATTGTTCTTACAATCTTCGTGGGTCAAGCCCCCACGTAGGCAAACTTCTAAGGCATGGAGGTAATTATCACCTTTGGTGCCCGATTCGAAAAAACCAGTACTGATTGCACAGCTGTGGTTTTACTCGTTGAACATAGCTGCACAGTTGCCATTTCACAGGCTGATCGGTTGCTCCTTTTTGTGAACCATTGTTTGGCACGGCCTTGGAGATCCAACCTGTGGGTGCCACATCGCGAAGACCACCTGGCAACAGTGGTTTTGTTGCAGACGCCCATTAGACGTGTTTTTTTAGGCTGGTAGTCCACCATACGCTTCCCATACCGCCCCGGTAGGCATTTGTGACTTCTTTTGGTTCATGGCAAATCCTATGGGGGGTACTATGGAAACTACCTGACATCCTTGAGTGCGACTACTGAAAAGAAGGCGGAAACGATTGAAGCTCAAACAATGCCGAAAAACTCCAGTTTCAGCCTAATTGCAAGGCTTGCAGATAAGATGCATGCCCCAATTGTTCTTGGACAAGCCCGTGGTGTTGATATCAACGTGGGTTGGACGGCAGAAAAACCGCTCGGTCGCAAGAGCTTGCTGCAGAAACAAGCATGTGGGATGGCGGTGGCAGTGGCTGCGGTGGTGGCGGGGGTGATGGTGGTGGTGGCGGCCGTTGTGGGTTTTGGCAGCACTGGTGGCTGCGGTGGTGGTGTGTCGTAATATGTGTCAATGGGTGGCAATGTGTGGTGGTGTGCTGCTGCTGCTGCTGCTGCTGCTGCTGCTGCTGCTGCTGCTGCTGCTGCTGCTGGTGCGG